GCTGGAACACATTCTTGTAAAAGTCTAACGTTTAAACCCCCTCAAGAGGACTGTCCGGCTCCATCTAAATTTTTATATATACTCTTAACTCAAAACCAACATGGATGGGAATAGATATATATAGAAGGGTTGAGCTTATTATCCTAAATGTTGGTTACTTTTACTAGTGTGTGTGTATATATGTTAACGTCAGCACACAATACCGTTTCTAAATCAAACTGATCAAAAAAAGCCAATGTCAACAAGACTTACTGACCTGTCCTGCCTTATGTCTAAAAAGTTAGGTAAACTAGTAAGAAAGGGGGGAATGAAAACGTTGTTCTAATAAAATCTCACGATTTCGGTCATGCCATATTTTAGAGAGAAACGCTTGTGTAAAGGCAGATGGGTCCAACGGTCAGAAGTGGCTAGAAACTGGACATTAAATAGGATGGTCTCAAACGAATAGGTTTGCTGATTATGTTAGGTCTGTTGTTAAAAGGAGGATAGGAGAGGCCATTGAAATTAATAGTTTATGGAATACGTTGAATGTAAGGAATTGTGGTAGAAAGTGAAGTAAGAACTACTTATGCTTGTTTTTTGTATGTAAGTAGAGTCTAGTGACTACCAGGAAACCTGTAATATGAGATGCATTCACGGTTCGACTCCCGCTGGAAGTTTTGATAAGACCGATGCGAGGTCGAAACTGCAGTCCACTGATGTCTGGATGGTAACAACTTTGAGAAAGCAAGGCTATTTAAAATTCAATCTAAACGTTAGCTCTACTCATATCATTGTGGGGAAATTCTACTACCAATCCTTCATCACCTTAAACGAAATTGGGTGAATACATCTCATACTACTTATGCTTGATCGATAGATTGAAGGAGAGAGAGGGCATTGAGCAGCGATCCGAAAAAAAGCGATATTATCTGTCAGCCTTGTGATAGCTCTAACCTCGCTTACATTCGTCCGAAATGTTAGGCTATGTTTAGCAACCAAACCAGACATACCAGATTACGTAGCACCAGTCATGCCTTTCCTTGGATAGTTAAACCTTAATGACCCTAAATTGGATGGTTATGAATCGATGAATCTGACGAGATAACATTGTTTGAGGGACTTTCCTTCCGTATGAAAGTACATGAAGAAGAGATTCTTAAGTTGATCTCACCAGAAGAGGATGGATGAATCGCGTTGTGCTGCAGCCGTTTGGCTTTGATACGATGTTCCAGTTGACGCAGTCCGGTATTCCTTATAGACGTTAGCGTACACATGCACACACGAGCCAAAGTAGCATGACCAAGATAAAAGATAATTATCCAGAATATTTTATATCTATATTTATCTTTACAATTTTGTTTTTTAGTTATGAGTATATGTAAATGTAGGATAGAGCCGGAAAGTCTTCTTTACTTGTTTTTTGAATAAAGTATTGTTTTTGTAACTACCAGTAAATCAGTAATATGAGATGTATTCAACCAATTTCGTTTAGGCTGATGAAGGACTGGTAGAAGAAGAATTTTCCCACAATGATATGAGTTGAGCTGATGTTTTCATTGAATTT